CAACATTCGGGTTCAGAAGCCCAAGCCTCTCCTATGCTGCTGTGACAAATGGCTTCAATCATGTCCTAAAGGGATAATCTCTGGCAGGGTAGTTCAGTGCCATGACTAAGTCAGTCCTTGAGCTCTTTACTGTTGAGAAGGCAGCCAGAGTAGGGTTTTTCTGATATAGACTCTTGTGCATGTGCTAGAAGTTGATTGGAGATGCAACAATTGCTAAACTGTGTTGGAAAGGTGAGGTTATTTGCTACTGCTGATTTCCACCAATAAGCAGAGCAGTCTCCATCCTCCCCATTCCTCACCTCTCCCCATTCTTAGATTCTTTCAAAATTTGCTCCAATCTCCCTTTCTCAGTCACTCATTCTCTTGACCACTTTTCACTCTTCTCACTACCCAAATGCCAGGGAGGCTGCCAATCTCAGCCTTCCAATCACTTCCTAAAAAAGAATTTTGCGCTTAGCATGAGTTTCTTGTGGTGTTGCAAATGTGATTTGTGTCTCCACTTGCATGGCTCTGCATATGCATCCAACCAATGCTAGTGCCTTTTAAAAAGAATGAGGTTGTTCAGTTCAGGAGGAGAACTGTGTAACAGCATGCCCGGTGCAGTACTGCAAGAATCCATTCTCTAAAGATTTCTCCCTTCAAGGAAGACCAGGTCTGTGCCCGTTTACTATGCTGACAAAGTGCTGATACTGGCAAAGCTGTGGTTTTACAGGCCTGACTTATTTTGCACAGAGGGGCCATATGGGTAAAAGTACAGTTTTGCTGGCATCTGCCAGTACTACTACATTGTTCAGGGATCACAGCTCTGACCTATGTGTGGCTTCTGAAGTTTGCAGCATACACCTGATCTAAGATACCCCTGAGTCTGGCTGAATTTTCATGTGACTTCAGCAATTTATTCAATTTTGCAGTAGCTTGGACTTGAAAGCTAGTTATAGCCAACAGTAAAAGTGTATTAAAGTTTGCAAGTAAGGGAGTGGTAGTGACGGCACTTCTATCTCCTGCCTAGGGTGCTTTGCTCAAATGTTATTAGCCAAGCTGTACAGCCTGACTGAGCCTGTACTGCTGGTACTCATTCCAAAATTCTTACTTCCCACTTCAACACTGTTGGAACAAGGTACAGCGTGAGTGTGCGCGCGCAGATCTGGAATCTCATTAAGAAGAAACTAGACAAGCAGGAGCAGCATGGAAAGAGAGAGAAAGCTGGAGAACTAATTGTAGCATAGCATTAATGGCATAAAGTCATTGCATGTGATGATTTCACTTGATACCTGTGCTGTCTTAGATGATCAGATGTGGTGAATGTGGACTTGTAAATGACAGTCACTGTAACAGAAGGTGCAACTTAAATCGCAGCTCTCCTGAGATCAGAACTAAAATTTCCGTTGGCTTTTTAGTTCACATGGGCCAGATTTTATCCTCTGTGCACACCCAAAGACCTCATAGTGCACAGAGACTTCTCTTGAAAATTACTATTCTGTGCCTAATGACAAGGGCAATTTATTTTCCTGAATCTCATGAAAAAACAAATCGAGAAATCCTGCTGAGGCATATGTGGGAAAGAGAATACAGAACTCTGGGTGGGTGAATGCAAGGGTACATGCATTTGGGAATGTAGGTGGTATGAGTGACAGTGGGGGGTGCTTGGGGTTAGCAGGCGCATGGGTATGAGGCTGAGGGTGTGACTGTAGCAGTGAATGACTGTGTGCCTGAATAAGGGTACAGGCACACCTTTGTGTAACAGCTAATACTTTTTCAGAGATGCATGATGTTTTATTACCTGCCCTTGGGGCATATGCCACACGTAGACCTGATATTTGTCCCTCTGGTGCGAATGCCTCGGGTGCCAGGAATGCAAGTGTCATGTCTGAGCCTGATGGTATGCACTGGCAGCCTGCCTGGCTCTGCTTAGAGCTGCTGTAGCTGCCAAGGTCTCCTAGCACTTCTAAAGCTAATATTTGATTGCTGAGGTATTTTGATAATGAGGTCAGTTTCCCTTGTAATGGAAGAGTGAGCTCTGAATGCATCATTCATAGCTTTCATTGTCAGGGAAACATGCGTCTTCTTCCCCTGTACCTCCTAGGAACCAATTCACTCTGACGTGTGTGCCCCATCCTCAGCTTGGGTTAGGGACCGTCTACCTACTGCTGTAAGACTATGGGCTGGGCAGCTCTGTGAGGCACTCAAGCTATGGGCATCCTTCCTACCACACCTGGGCACCAGAGTTGGTAATACAACAGGCTTATTGCCAGTAGCAGCTGTCCTTGGTTCTCCACAAGCTTTGAGGTTCCCATCTGAAGCTTATCCAGACTCTTCCCTTTTAAGAAACACATGAACTGATGTCTTTGTTACAGATCTATGTTACTGCTGACTAGTGACAGTGTCCCGGTTCTGGATGCAGGTTTAT